TTGTTGTTATAAACGAGAGTGATTTCCTATCCCTCCCGTTCCATATCCTAATTACGTACATCACCGGTAAGTTTAGACAGGGCGTGCTTTAGCACCTTAAAAGAGCCAGGACCCGAAAATATAAATAAAGTAACGACCGCAACGCGGGACGTAACAAAACAATATCGATAGGAAATCATAAAAGTTAATCATCATAATATAATATATAAATATAAAAAGCAAAAGAAAGTATAACTATTTAATTATTTAATTATTAATTATATTATAAATTGTAATTATACGTTTTTTTTTATATTTGTGTAAATTATAAATTATCATTGACACTTTGATATTGTTTTTAACCTCATTGAAATAATCTAGAGTGGTAGCGGTACGGTAATCGACCGTAATAGCGGAGCGCCAGGTGTTTTACCATCTAGGACTGTTTTTACCCCTTGAAGGTGGATGAGAGCAGCTAAAAAAAATACATGTCAAATATTTTTGTGAGAACTACAATCTCACAGAGTTGTATAAAAATGGGCGATTGTCAATTCCGAATGTTCCCTTGCGAGTCCACGTCTGCTATGAGGTCAAAGCAATTAGGCCGTGAATAACCGAAACGTTCGCTCCGGCCTCTGCTAAGGTGCTTGGACAGAGCCAAGCAGCGTTAACCCAACATGTGTCCGTGAAATTTTTTTTCCTGCTCCTCGAGGAAAACGTAGTTTCCGCTTTCCATCCCGAAGCAATGGGTATCGTTTCAATAAATTAACGGAACCCGCGCGTCGATGAAACTGCACGACGGTTCGTTCGTTGTACTTCTGCAAAGCACGTGTTTTCTTAGAACGCTGGTTTCACTTTACCTAAATCTTGTTGCCGCGGTGGGAGTGAACTCACAATGTAACGATGAGAAACTACTTGGGGGTAGAGGTAGCCCATTTGAAAAAATTCTGACAGTCGGTTAGCAGTTGAGCGACAGAGATGTTCAGTTCATGGGAGTATGACGCAATGTTCTGGTGGTATGCACAGAATAACGGATATGCGGGTGTTGCTGTGCAAGTGTTTGGTTACGTAAAACGTCTGAAAAATTGAAAACAATCGGCCCTTTTCGGGGCCACGAATTTTCCTAACGTAGTAACAACACGTTGGATTAAAAATACATTAAATGATTGTGTCGGGTGATCAGTGTTATTGGTCGTTCAGTGAAGTGAGTAAGTATTCGGTGGAATAACCAGGACGCACTTGACGTTACAACCCTTAACTTCGGCTGGTGAGGTATACCTGCGATCACCTGCGAACTGGGCGATACCCTGCCATAAACCGTTTCGGCCGTCGATAACCAGGATCGGTTCAGTGACCTAGTGACACAGGTTTGCAAACTGCAGGTGAATTTCCGAACGGGTGAGTTCTAATCAATTTATTGCTGATTATTATTTTCTTAATTTAACGCAAACTATGGCGTATTTCCGGCGATAATTCTGCAAGTTTCTGTATCTAACTTTTTCTTCGGGCTTTTTGAAGAAACTTATTCATTGTCAGTAACATTGTTGACCGTTATTAAACTACGGATTTTTATACCAATACCGAATTACGATCACTTCTCGTTCATTCTCTGTTACATTACCTTTCCGTTCA